GGTAATATTTGTGAATACAAATGTCCAGTATAATACTACCAGGCTAGAAATGGTTAAATTCCTTCAAAAATTGTTTAATAACAAAAAACCAGTTGTTTTTTTTTTTTTTCTGTTTTAAAAGTTTTCCTTAATTTTAAGTAATAGTTGTTTCACTCACACATATCAACAGTTGTGTTGTTTTTGTGACAGATTTTTGTAGGAAAAATTCCAAAGGACTTTTTTGAAGATGAACTTATCCTTCTATTTGAAAAATGTGGAAAGATCTGGGACTTGAGGCTTATGATGGACCCATTGAGTGGTCAGAACAGAGGATATGCATTTATAACATTCTGTGACAAAGAAGGAGCATATGCTGCTGTAAAAGAGGTAACATTTGCACCTTGTGTAAAATAAAATGATTTTATGTGAAGAATATAAGATTTAAATTGCATGTGGGATTTTGTGGATGGCTTTTATGACGAGGACTCAAGCTTGTTTGAATTTATATAACAGACAAACTCGGCACACACACACATGTACAATCACAATATTGTCTATAAAAATACAACAAATAGACATGTATAATATTAAATCATACAGTCTATGTTAATTGAAAGTGTAGCTAAACATATATATTTATGCTTATTTTACTTAAAATTTTTACTTGTTAGTATTGAAACATTCAAGAAAAAACAATTAAATGTGTATCTCGTTTAATGTAGCTGTTTGATAATAGGTCTGTCACTGAGCTTGAAGAAAGTTATTAGATATAGTAGTTAAAAATATTGGGGAATTAGTTTCAAATTTCTTAAATTATTTTTCTAATTTTTCTAAAATTATTTTCAGTTTTTTTCATTGAATTGTAGGAACCTTGAGGGACAGACTACTAAAAGATCTTGTAGAGAGCTAGCTGAATAAAACTTGTTTGTATTGATTTAATGGTCCAAGTAAAAAAGGTATTACAGATTCTACACTCGTCGAATCTGTTGACATTTTTTAAATTTTAATGTGTGCATGTGTTCATTATAAGTAGTTTGAAAACATTTTTTAAACCAAAAATGTTTTAAGTTTTACGAGACTTTGCAATAATTTTTATATATTGCCGTGTAAAGTTTCAAACAACTGATCCTATGTTGAGCTTAAAAGAAGAAAAGTGTGTCAAAAAAAATTAATTTTTTTTATCAAGAATCAACCACCTGATATAATTCAGGAAAGAAATATTTAATCATGCGGTTAAATACTACAGTTGAAAAAAGAAAAGAATAAAAGTTGCTCACTTCACACATAATCTAGACTCACTTGAGGAGGATACAGTTTTAAAACATCCTCATTCAGCTTAAATTAGTGTTATATCAACTCGTTTGTAACAAGACGTATCTTTCTCCGAGAATGAAAACATTCCTAATATGTTTATTATAATTATCATCTTAACTCAGAAGCTTCAAAATGTACTCCCCAGAAAGATTTCTGATTTTCGGAGTAATTCTATTTTCAAGTAACACTACTAAACAAAATCATGTTATTCATAAAGCTTTATTTGTCTTCATAATATTTTTTAACTTAACACACTCACCATGGGTAGGTTAAAGTGTGCACGCCATGACTTTTTAAAAACTTGACATCAAAATGTAGTTAATAAATCACATTTTAATATTATGTAAGTCTAAAGTTCCTACTTTTATAAAGCTATATTAAAAAATATCTAGAATTTCACCTAGTGTGAGAACTGTGACATTTGCTCTCTATGCATCCTCTCTTCTCTAATTTATCTACCACCCCTCCAATAAGTATGAAATTTAACATAAATTGCTTATTTTAATATAGATATTACTCAAGCAAAGCACAAGTTTTATAGCCTTCAATTTTATTTGTTTACGGAGTCATAAACTAGAAAATCAGAACCATTTGCCATGCCCACATGTCAGATCCTCTTTCACAAATTGCCAGTAGTTATCTCTGACGTTTTTACTAAATTATTTATAACCAGTAGAAACTCAAGGTTTTAATCTATCAAATGACATTATAATATGTCTGTTTCATTGTTTAGCTTTAAATTTATTTGCACGGGAATCATATCGATGAGTTTAGCTGAAATTTTTAAAGGTTCGTATTGCATAGTTAATAACCAGAAACATTATGGTGGTTATAGGACATTATTTGCTTTGTGCATGTTATTATTCTGTGTTTTTAGGTGCATTATTTAATTAAATAAAAATCTAGTGTAGTAGTACCATTAGTATAAAGAAAGTAGGCTTAAGTTTCATTGATAGTCAACAGCATAAAAAATGAGTGCCCAAGTAAATACTGTATTGGTTTTCGTGTCTATTCTTTACTTATTATTATTATTATAGAAGTAACAAAAACTTGGAAACTTTTAGGTCAGATTAGGTAAGATAATGAGGAAAAATTTGCTGAGTGATTTACTTGTGTGATGGGATTATTAGTTAGACGTGGTTTAAAGGAAATGAAACAGTACATTTAAGTAGAAATGGGTGTATACTGTTATGAACTTGCCATTTAGGATAAACAACTGTAGTCTGCTGTTAAAACTTTCACTTATTCTACAAAATATAAAGGTGATTTAGAAATATTTCTTCTTTTTTTTTTATGGTGGTTACGAGGCTGGTCAAATTGACTGAATGTGTATAGAGTTAGGATAGAGAAAATAACAGATAAAATATAAAATTTTTTCTGAAACAAAACATTTGATATTTATTTAGAAGGTTTTAAAAGTTATGCAAATGAAATTTTACAATTTTCAGATGAAGAAAAGTATTTTTAATCTTAAGATGAAAATCACTGCATTCAGAGCAGTTAACACTTTGACTATATATATATTCATGGATAAAATTTTCTTAAGTTATTAATTAAAAATGATTTTTTTGTATACAAAAGCCTTGTGATGTTTACTGAAATCATTCAAAATTTTGTGAAGAAACACAAAAGATATTAAAAGTTATAGTATGGAACTGAAGGTCAGTTTAGGGTCACAAACTCAGTTGAATTGGCCGAGCCTGTAGCAAGAGAGTTGATCTTCAGTAATGTTTGTCTTGGTTTAATTGCAGGACTGGGTATGACCTAATGGTTAGCATACTGAGCTGCAAACCATGAGGTCTAAGGTTTGAGTTGCAATGTGCTCTGGAAACACATACTGCAGTTTCATCTGTGGGGATAAGGACGTCTGTGACAGACAACCACAATTCTGCTACTTGTTTAAGATTAGCCATGTAGGCTATTTTTTTTTATTGGCAATGTTAATTTCTAAGTGGTTTAGGTGTATAAACTATAAACATGGTACATCCTAAATCAAGCATTTTCAACACAAATAACAATAAGTAGGTTCTTAGTTTTACAAGCCAGTTGATCTGAATTTTCACTTCTTCAGAAAAATACTCGTTTCACAGAGTGATGTGCCACACATTAAAACTTTTATAAGAAATGGCACGGTGTACGGGAACTTAATACAAGCATGGACTAAGTGTATCTTGCTGGTTAGAAAAGTAAAGGTCCTCCTATCTGGTTTCTAAAAAACTGGCTGTTAAGAGTTTCTGTTGTAAAATACATAAAATATTGTAGTACTGTCTGTAAAATATACCAGTTTACCTAGTATTACACGATGTCCTGTGAACATTTTTAACACACAGCAAAAAAAATAACAATTTAACTAGAAAGGGAACTTCAGTTAGGAAAAGTTGAGGTTTCAGGCTTTTATTCTCTTGTAATGCTTTGTTGTTTCAACAAATATTTACTTGATATGTGGTTACATTTATATATGATACACCTGGCAGGCCAGAATACTGAGTACACTAAACTGGAGTGTGGTTTTGTAATAAACACTAAGGTTTAAACACCGAGAATGTATTTTGGAAATAATTCAGATGTTAAGATATTTTGGATTCAGTGTGCATATAGAACAGGTGTTTATATCCATTCATTATGAGATAAACGAAGAGGTTGCGTGCTACAAAGCCACTGTGTAACGTGGTGATCCAGCTGTTAAGTATGCCACAAGATTATCGGCTAGCCACAGTCTGTAATACATCATTGTGGTTGTAGCTGTTGATATCAGAAAATGCTGTAAAACTGGTGGCATCTTTTTTTTTCAGAGCATCGTAAACTATTGGGAGTTAGCTCTTCTTGTAAAAGTTCTACGTATGTAAGAGCACATGTCCTCTATTCATTACAGGTTATGTTTTTAAATTTTATTACTTTTATCTTAGAAATACCACTGTAAAATTTCTCTAACAGAAGGGATTACTGTCTTTTTTTTTATTTAAAAAAAATTTAAATAAATGCTGATAGCGTAACATCTTATTTTATGGTGGAAGAAAAAATACCAAATTTAAAACGTATTTCATCGAATCTACTGGACTTATAACCTCATCTTTGCATGTTCATCGCTGCGTTACGTATTGAATACTGTAACTGAGATATCAATATAAAAATATTTAAGTTGTGGTATCTGAAAGTAATTGAGAAACGTGAAAATAATGACAAAGCAGTCTTCTTGTGTGGTTTCTTTTAGGACCTCGTCTGTTTGGTGTATAGAGAGTATCTTTTGATTGATTTATGATAAACTGTAGGTATTGTATACTAACAATAGAAGTAGGTGTGTTGTTGGGTTAACCATGTGGGACAAATACTGGACTCTTGGTAGTTTGTAATCGCAACCATACAATAATTTGGTCTCTAACCTTCTAAATATGGGTCTGGCTTTTCTTCACGGTTAATTAATGACATTTCAGAGTTACATTCAAAATTTATTTCAATAACTTTTTTTTTAGTATCGTATGTCAATAAAATTAACATCAGAGTGTAGTTTACAGTTCAAATGATCATATTATCCAAGTTTTATTTTTCAAAAGAATATATAAAAAAAAAATTGCGATTGACGTTTCTTTGTGTCACCTAATATGCCTTGCATTCTGAATTCAGTTTGTATACACTGTCTGATCTATCGTAGACACGATGTATCAACTCATGTTAAAAAGCTCCTCTCATCTGTACTTAACTATTTAGGCAGTTTTCAAGACTACATGCTTTTCTTTGATGTATATTTATAACCAATATAACCATTTTGAAATTGGCACTGCTAGATGTTAAGACTAGTGAATTTCATTAGATACGTGCAGAAAATAAAGTAGATGGTCATCCCATTTAATGATTTTTTTTTTACTTTAAATAGCGTAGTTAGGGATACACTTAAATTATGCTTCATTTTTGGACAGTATATTTAGTGATTTATGTATTACCTGTGATAAAAATACATATTTGAAATGTAAATTAATTATTGTGTCAACGAAGACTTAGAGAAATGAAAGTAGGTTTAGGTAACTACGAGTGCACGAGTCAAAAGCTGTAAGTGTTATGAAAGTTGCCGACGTGATATGTCGCTCTTCGGGCATGACAAAACTAAATGTCACGTAAGCTACACAGTAAAAATCATTCCCGAAGATAATGAAAGTAAGATATGCCGACAAATAATTCATTCAAAGAAGGAGGGAAAAAAAACAAAATTTCATATTGATGATTTAGCTACAGGTAGCTTTAGGGTAGATAAAATAACAGATAAAATAGATACTCGTACAACTTCTGATATTTATTTAAGAGTTTCTTATGTTAAGCAAATGAAATATGAAAACTGTAAGATAAAAAGTATTTTTAAAACGTCACCTTTGCAATTAGATTGACTCAGGAAAGGCTTTGGAAAATCACAGATGAATTTTTTACTATAATTTTTTTTTGTGCATAACAGACTGTCCAAATTTCGTGAAGATACACCTAGTGAACTCAAAATTCTAGTAAGTAAAGCATAATTTTCAAGCTTGTGTAGAATGACTGACCTGTGCTTTTTTTAGGTTAGAAAGACCAAATGTATGAAAATAACAAACTGATGTCAAATCTGTATTTTTAATCATTGATGAAGATTTGTTAACTTAATAATTTTATATTGTCAAAGAGTTTTGAAATTTATGAAAATCGCAAAGTTTTTCCCAACAGTTTGGTCGGAATGATTGTATTCTCTTGATACATTTAATAGTTTAGTGGTCAGTAAAGAAACTTAAAATTTATTTTTGCTGTAATCATAATATCCAAACATGAGAAATATTAGCTGGATGGCTTACTCGTGTACGAGGCAACAGGGGGGAATGGCTCTATAATTAGTGTTAGAAAGGATCATAGCAATGTTTACAGAACTAGTGGTACACCAGCTAATTGTTGTCAAGGAAGGAACTACACAATAACTGCTAGATAGACCTTTTCTTTTTTTAATCCAAAAATTACCGAGGAAAAGAAACAGATTTTTTTTTAAATCTAAAATTGGGTTTGTTTCATACTTCTTTCAGAAACCATCCAGTTTTATTAAATAATTCCACATATCCAAATTTATTAAATTAAAAAGACCCACAATTTTGTCCAAGATTAGAGATGCTGCACTTCTAGGTGAAAGAAGATGTCATCAGACCTAGTATTATTTATATTAAAAAAAAAAAAAAAAAAAAAAAATGTGATAGAACTAAGTAACTGCTTATAATCTGTGGGTAAGATAGGCCTATTTTTTAAACTTTTGTTTACTTAAGGAAGGTTATTGGCTCTGATTCAATGGGTCTCCTCTTGCTCTGTGGAAAGATGTGTTTTCAGATAATTATGTTTGATTAGGATTTATGTAATAATCAACTCTCTAATTTTCACATCTTACAGAAGTCAGAAATGATAAAATCTTGACCAGGTTGTCATATTTGTATGAATTTGTGATATACTTCTTTTGCAGGAGCTGTGAGAGCAGTCCAGAAATTGAAAATTTGTGGTTTTTTTTGTTTTTTTGCAAGATTGATTCGAAATAGTAGTCTTTGGAAAGCATTTTTATCAATTTCAGCTGGATAATTATAAAATGAAATAAGGGCAAGACCCTGAAAGTAAATATACGACTTCCAAACCTTCATCTTTTTTGTGTGTAATATCACAAAGAGCAAGAGTAAAGAGGAGATCGTTGGAGAATTTGATAAATTAACTACTAGGTATGGAAAGTTTAGAACCTGAATTCCTGTAGCGTTTAAAATACCATATGTTCATTACATCTAAAATTTACAGGTCATCAGTAAAATGCCCTGATGGTGCATTTTTCAGCTCCACTGCATCCAAGAATGTTCTGCCTTTAAGATAACAATTCCCTGAATTTGAATGATTGGCTTGCAACTTCTTGTGTGTTTGCTTTACAGCTGGATAATTACGAAATTAGAAAGGGAAAATTCATTGGCGTGACGATTTCAATTAACAACAACCGGTTATTTGTGGGAAATATTCCAAAGAACCGAGGAAAAGACGAGTTATTTGAGGAATTTACCAAACATGCACGTAAGTTGAAATTTCAATTGACATTTTGCCCCTTTTGTTACTCCTGATTTCTATTGGGCACCTGCCAAAATTGAATCAAAATTTTACATGTGGCTCACGACATCTGATAAAGTGTTGTTAAAATTGGTGAAGATTCTAAATTTGATGGAACAGATGTAACTTGTTAGCTTGCGATTAGAGATGTTTATGTTATCATCTGCTGGTCAGTCAATGCCCAAAGGGTGGGACATTTGTTAAAGCCCTCCCGGGCTTTCTTTCTTTTTTCTTTCACCAATGTTATTTTCTTTTTTTTTTTACTGTTTTATAGCTGGCTTGACCGAAGTTATCATCTACAGCTCACCAGATGACAAAAAGAAAAACCGAGGATTTTGTTTTTTAGAATATGATTCTCATAAGGCTGCATCTCTAGCCAAGAGAAGGTTCAGCACAGGACGGATAAAAGTTTGGGGTTGTGACATCATTGTTGACTGGGCCGACCCTCAGGAAGAACCAGATGAAGACACTATGAGAAAGGTATTAAAAGGTTATCGATATTACCACAAATGGCAGTTTAAAGTTTATTTTAGTATTTTCTTTTTCAGTTTTTCTGTGAAGTAATTGAATTGACTTTATCATCGGTTGTTTGTGATCTGTGGTAACAATATCTATGTCCATTTATCTTCACTGGCTATATCCTTATGCTTTGACTACACAGGTTAAAAGCCCCAACCTTTCTGTTGAAGTGTATTGATTTGCAAATGTAGGTGGTTCTGAAATTGATCCCTGCTGCCAAGGTTACATTATAGGAATATCCATTGCTATATTTCCTATTCCTAAGTTAGTTTTTTTTTTATATTATATATATATATATATATAGTTAGTTATTATTTATTACTTACTTAAGTTAGTACTACTTAGTAATATAATAATTAATTACTACCACTACTTCTTTCGTTTCTTCTAGTGTGTTAGTTTACTTTTACTT